AGATTCAGTACAGCTTTGGAGGAGATTGCTTAGGATGTTTTTTGGAGAATCTTGGGAAGAAATTCAGGCTGGCTCTCCTTGGAAGAAGAATAACAACAAATGCTTGAGGGAAGGGAAGGTTGTTCTCAGGAAGGGTGATTACCTAACAACTTTCCAGTAGCTGTCCTTGCAGAATGGTAATCCAGCCATTATAAGCTTCCTTCTGGATTCCTGTTTTCTGAAGAGGAGTGAAGAACTGAACTATGCTTTCACATGCGTGGCTCTTTAAGCATTCCAAGTAGAAGAGGTGGTATTGTCTGAGAGGCCTGTCACCTCTACTTCACCAATGTCTGACGGTATGTAAGCATTTCCATTCCAGATGCCTAGTGTTGAGGAAGGAGACGATAGTTGGTGCTTACTGCTTTGAAGAAACGTCTGGGAGTAACGCACAGTTTCCCATTGCCTTTGCAGCCCTTAAACGGCATTTTGCAGGAATTCCTTGGCGGGACCCTGTGTCATAATGCAGTAACTGTCGCTTGTCAGGACTGTGTTACTGGTGTTCCGGCAGCGTTAGGTTGCTGACCTGGGCGTCAAACAAAAGGTTTTTCCTTCCTTTTCTGCTGTTACCCTGCAGTTTGTGGAGTGTTTTGATTATGTTGTTGGGCTTCAGGCTGTGTTTCTGAGGCAACGCTTGTTCTGGGAGATGACTTCTCGTGTCTGTCAGATGGGAGTGTCAGAATCGGTGTGAATCTCTCTTTTTTGGGTGGTTTTTTTGTTTGTTTTGAGAAGGTGCAAGTGTATGCAAGGTTCCTAGGGTGCCTGTTGGCTGTGAGCTTGGCTAGAAGCCTGAAAGCTGAAGTCTTTCGCATCTGAAAGACGTACCCTTTGTACACGGATTGCATTTCTACCCCCTTTCTCCTTCCTCCTCCATTTTCTTTCACTGCTTAATTTAGGAAAAGCTTGATGGAGTAAAGGCCGTTCCTTCTAAAATTGAAGAAACCACATCTCTGAAGCAGTTCAAGAAGGGAGGAACCAGTGAAGAGGACGAGTAAAGAAACACCCTGGCCTTCACAGATAAACTCATTTGGTGCTCTAAAAATAGTGGCTTGCAGGAACTTCGGGGAAGGGGGGGCAGGTTTGGATGGGCATGACGTGTGACTGCTGAGAGCTAATCTACAGAGAAAGGAGAAATCTATTTAAAAATGGATGACCTTAGATAAAGAACAATGTATAAAATAAAGGGATGCCAGAGATAAGTAAGAAGGTAATCCCATTGGGTTTATCCGGCATGCATTAAGAGTTGTGTGAGGTAACTAACAGTGCTTTGTTTTGCTGTGCTTGCTGCTGTGCTGGGGATGTGAAATATCACATTAAGGCGTCGTTCTTGCTGCAGAGGCTATTTTGACGGAACAGGCAAGATAACTGTTAAGTCTCAGAACTGTTCATTCTGTTGTGAAACCGCACAAGGTCTTAACACGCTTCACTGGCATATTTTTGTTGTAATGTGAGGAAAAATGCTGTCTCAAAACTAAGTAGGAGAACAAACTAAGGGAAAAAGTGGGAACAGTAGCAGATTTCAGGGTATTCTTTTCTGAATCTGCAAGATCTGAATTAATACAGAGTTCTTTAGTTCTGTTTCCGTTTTTTCCCCAGGACATTCAGAAAGGGAGGGTGGATACTGTTGCAATTAAGGTACACCCTTTCGTATTAGACATTGAGTTATGTAATAACAGTATTTCAACATAATACAGAATAAACTAATAGAAGCTTAACTATATTTAAAGTCACTGTGGAATATGGAAGAAAAGGAGCCGTGCTTAGCGCATGTCATCTTTGTTCTGTAGCTGCTTTCTAAAATGTGCCAGTGATGTGTGGCCTTAACAAACAAATTTGCCCAGTTATTTTTTGACCAGAAAGTTCTGTACTGAAAGCATCAAATGTAGCGTTGTTTTCTGAGAAGGAAAGAACTTCCCCCAGCGTCCTTTGTAACTGGAAGGACACTGCTGTTCTTCCATTTTCTGTTTTCTGTAGATAAGTGTTCATCCTCATGGCATAGCTGATTCAGATTTCCTGAATCTGTTGGCTTTTTTGATGGGAAAAATTAGGAAGATATATCAGCATTTTGTCTTGCTCTAATGTTGTGCAGGTGTGAGGACTTTAAATAATACCAGTGGGAAGGTGTTTGGGGTGCTTACTTGCATCCTAATACTAACTTTCAGTGTTCACTGGCTTTGGAACAGTTTGATGCTTCTCATTCTTCACTGTTCCTGATGGTCTCAAGGTTGTCTGAGATTTTGTGGCTTTGGTCTCCTCTAGAGGATTGCAGATAACATTAATGCCCTTATTCTCAAATACAAAGTGACTGTGTGCCCAGTGGCAGTGCTTTGAGCAGAAGGTGAACAAAATATGGCTGTGTATGCCTCTTCTGAGGAATTATTCTTTTCTTCCAAACTAGTGAGTTGTGATGCAGGGAAGTAGTGCAGTCGGAGGCATCAAGTAGTTAACATACTTTCACAAATCAGTCTAATTTTAAGGTTTTTTTTTTTCCTTCTGAACAGAATTATCTGCAACCTGCACTCTGCTCACCTCAAAAGGGCTTGGACTACTGCTTTGCTGTTCAGTTTTCCCTCTGCCTCAGTGTCATAACCCAAAAAAATCCTGCTGCCCTGCTGATACACCTTGCTGTGTCCTGGCAAGTCAGAGCAGTAGTGACTGACTCTATGAGCATCCATTTGATACAAATGCCATGCAGCAGGGAATTTGTTGAAGACATACAGGCAAAAAAAGCTTGATAAATAAGCATAAATCTGAAGAATAGTATTTATTTTGTCCCACACTTTTAATGACCAGGTCAGAGGCTATGAGGCAGAAGAAGCAAGGCTAGCTGTTAGACATTCTGCCCAAGCTGGGTATGGATCTGAGAAGTCATACAGCAACAGGTTGTTAAAAGTAAAAAAACCAAACAAAACCTGAAAGGTCATGAAGAGCTAGGTGAAACCAGTGCAAGTTATGGCATGAATTCCTCAGTTTGGGTTTTAAATGGCCTCTTAGACCAAGAGTTTGAGAATAACTATTGTAGTTTTATAGTTTAGTTTTGTAGTTTTACAGTATGTTTCAAACATGGGAGGGGGAGTAATTTTCTTTTGATTCACAGAAATAAAGGCATAGGTTAAAAGCTATACTTGTGAATAGCTGGAAGCTGTTAGTTCCACTGTTTAAAGTCAAGGTCTCGCTTGACTTTAGCCAGAGCTTGACTTTGCCTTGTAGCGTCTTCCTACCATTGTTCAATACCAATATCTGAAGGGGAAGAATAACTCCTTCAACCAAGTGTATACTTGTTTATTGTCATCCTGTCAGAGCTAACTGCTATTTGGCTGAGCAGTCTGACTCTGAAACTTAACTATTCTTAGTGCTTCCAGATCAATAATGCTTTTAGTTTAAAATAGACCATCTGTAAATATTTTGCTAACCATACATTATTAGGAGGTTTGAACTCTTATTCCTACAGTCTTGTAAGCAGTCCTAGGGTGCTGTCTTGCTGAAGAATACTGCGCAATCTAGGCTGTTTGCTGGGAGAGAGCGTGGCAAACTTAATGCTCTTGTGTAGAAGATTAAGCATGCAAAGCACATTTTTCTTAAAATAAATGGGTCATTCCTCCCTGAAATCCAGTGTAAACAGGCTTTATAATTCAACAGCTGAGAAGACTGCAGAATGCCACCTATAAAGCAGTGTTTATCTGTTTCTGATGTGTAGTGGCTATGTACCTAGCAGATGCATTGGTAATTCAGCCATTAAGTTGATCCTCTAATTGCTTAGAACTGAGATGTGAGAAATGGAAAAGTGATTTTTCATCTGTCATAACCTTACAAGAAGCTTCATCGGAATCAAACTGCCTAATTCCTGCTTCTTGGTTGACAATGTAATTTTACAGTATTTTGTGATGTGTAAACAGCATCGATGTGAAGATAATGGCTTCTAAACAACGCCTATACAGCTAATAGGTTTGAATGGGATTTTTTTTTTTTCCTAAAACTTTGACAGCAGTGCCTTGTAGGCTTAGACCACAGCAGATTTCCTTGGAGCCTGTCTGCTGTAGGATTGTAGGAGTTGTTTCTTCATAGGTTAGTGCAACGTAGGAGAATGCTGAAGAAACTGAGTCTATTGACAGACAAGACGGTTTTAGAAAGCTGGGAGAAGTTAGGTGTCCAGTTCAGGCAGCAAAAAAAAAAAAAGCCTGTAAAGTCAGCTAAATGGTGAAGTTGATTAACTTGTCCTGTTATTTACTAATAGTACAGACCTTCTACAGTCCTTTAGGAAGGCTATCTAGGAATGGTATTCTGTATTTTTACTTAAAAACTTTATAGGTTGTGAGACGATTCCATATGGGGTGGAAGGTAATGTCCAGACAAGGAACTGTACTCATTCCCTCCCCTCCCAGCAATTTTTCTCTACACAGTTGAAGAATTGACCAAGAGGAAGCGAAGTCTAAGTAGATTTAATGGGTTTAAAAACTATTTGATGGAACATGTCTCACATTGTTTTCTGTCCTCCTTTTGCGCTCTCGTGGTTGCTGTATGAGAAAAGGGTGGTTCACCTGGGAGAAGGAATGCAGACAGCAATTAGCTAGATGTGACTAACTAGCAGTAAGCTAGATGTGACTACTGGTTCAGAGTTGAAGTGTCTGCAAGGAAAGAACAGGGAGGGGTGTAGCTTTGGGAGTCAGCTGTCTGAAGCTTTTTTTTCCTTGTATTGTGGGTTTTTTTTTTTGTTTTTACAAAAGGTGGGTGATGGGGGAACAGACTGCTGAGGTGCTGAGACCTCAGAGAAGTTCAACTGTGGTGGTTTTTCTGAGTTCTTTGGCTGTGTAATCTGTCCTTGGGACTCATTCTTACATTTCAGGTCAGAAATTGTTGGACTGAAATGTGCTTAAAAATGTTAGTAAATCTAAGTCGCTTACTGGAGAGGTTGCGGTTATACCGTATGGCATTAACCTGCTTGCTTTGGCGTGGAAATCACTCAAATGTGCAACCGTGAAAGAACAATTCTTTCTTTGGCAGCTGTGGCAAGCCCCGTTCTGTGGCAGAAGGACTGCGTGAAGGGTCCGGAGGTATGGTGTCAGAGTGTTCGGACAGCATCACAGTGTGGAGCGGTGAAACATTGCCAGCAGAATGTGTGGAACAAGCCTACTGTAGTAAGTATCAACTACTGAGACTTCTTCCCACCTGTAGTTGAGGTAGCTGGTTTCCATATGCTGATGAAGATTTTTTTCAAGTCTCTGATCAGAGTTAAGTGCCACATCTGACTGTGCCTTGGTTACTGTGCCTTAATTTGGGTGCCAGATAAAGGTTGCTTTCCACTTCAGATACACTTCTCTGCCTTGCACAACTTGTCTGCTGACTTCTCCTGTGACCTGTTGCACAATCACCAAGCAATGTGTGGAATGGAGCTAGTGGATTTCAGGCTTGTTCCTATTTACAAAAACTCCTAATTCATTGAGCCTTTTTGTATTCTTAACTTGAGCAGTGCCAAAGTGATAGGCTTATTACAAAAAAAAAAAGCTGTATCCTTCTTCAGATCTTTCTTGTAAGTTACTGTTCCACAAAAGATGCAGCACATGCTAAATTATAAAAGTGTTTGTGGTACAGATGTTACATTTAGTGTGGCTTTTCAAGTTGCATTTGTAGTAAATGTGAGTGCTGCTTTACTAGATCTAGCTGTAGTTTGTGGTATTGTTTCACAATTTTCCAGGGGGAAAATGCATTTTACTTACAGATGCATTCAGTCCACTGTTGCTATATGTGTGCTGAGATATGTGTCAGTTTATGGAAAGGTATGGGAAGGGAGGAATGGCAGAGCACAACTAAAATGAGTGAAGCTGCCTGAAAAGTTCTTAGATTTCTACTAATTCTCGGGGCAATATACTTCATACTTCAAGGAAGGTGGGACTAAGTGAAATGAGCAAGTGGTAGCACGCCTCCTGCTTCTTAGGATGTTGATTTACCGAAGAAACTGGAGATGGACATGCTGGAGTAGCCTCACTCTTGATTTAAAACCACCTCTTCCCACCCTGGCTTCAGCCAGCATTTCTTCCTTAACCTCAATTCCAAATGTGATTCTTGTTCTTTGCACTATTATTTGCACACTGCATTTACAGGTCTGTCTCAAAGTAACTCTCTACTTCTGTCTCCAGAACAGTATCCCCTGTGACTTGTGTAAGGAACTTGTGACAGTGGCAGGCAAGGTTTTGAAGGATAATGGCACTGAGGTAAGCAGAGCTCTCCTTCTCCTTGCCCCAAGGCACTATTTGATTTCATTGTTGTAACAAGATCGCAAGGTGAGGGGGTGGAAGAGTAGTGTGCGTGACGTTTTCCTAACCTAAGCAGCAAATGTTGAAAGGGGCCAGAGTACACAGGGAAAAGGCTTTTAAACAGCCTCTTCTGGTTTAGAGATTAGCGAATTCTAGAGCCTCGTGCTCTAACACATCCTGATTGACTGTAGATGCTTAATAAAATTGTTCTTGTGCCATTGATCTTAAAAGGTGGGATACCACAGTCTCTAGAAGTGTGGGATTACAGCAAGTGGACTTTATTTTGGCTGTGGGCACTTCTTCCCTTTTTCTTTTGTGAACCTGGGAGTAATTTGTATAAACAAATCACTGTCCCACTAGTCCATAATTCCACTTCCTTTTCTTCAATGTAAATGTTCTAGAGTGTTGTTGCACAACAAGACGGTGTTGTGCAGGCTTTGCAAGCAGTATTTCATGTTTTTGCTTTGGCAGGGTCTCATCAAAAGTCCAGGACTGAGGAAAATAGCCCTATAGTGTAAAACCTCATCCTAGTTTTGCTTGGACCTACCAGAGTCCAAGCGTTTTGGGGTTTTTTTAGGCTTTGTGTTGTGCATTTTGGGAATGGAAAGAGCATTTGAGATATGTGTGTGTACAGGTGTATATGTATAGACAGAGTCTATAGCCCACCTCGTCTTTTATAGGATGAGATCCGCTCTTACTTGGAGAAGACATGCGAATTTCTTCCTGACCAAGGCCTGGTCTCTGAGTGCAAAGAAATTGTTGATTCCTACCTACCAGTTATCATGGATATGGTCAAAGAAGAGCTAGTAAGTAGATAACAATTTGCAACTGTTGGAATTAAAAATAGTGCTCCTGTTGATGCCTGAATTTATCTTCTACATAAGATTGTGCATATGATTCTTTAATCCTGTATGGATCACTGGTGTTGCAATTACTGGTGTAAATTTGAAGACTGCTTCCTTGGTGTGAAACATTTTCCCATCCTATCATGTTTCAGCTGAATGACTCTCTACTCTGAACTTCACAAGTGCCATCAGTGTAAAACTTTATATCTTCCCTCCCCTAGGATAAACCTGAAGTTGTATGTAGTGCACTCTCACTGTGCCAGTCCCTTCAGAAGCACCTTGCAGCAATGAAACTTCAGAAACAACTCCAGTCCAATAAGATACCAGAGCTGGACTTTTCTGAACTGGCATCCCCATTCATGGCTAACGTGCCTCTTCTCCTTTACCCTCAGGACAAACCCAAGCAGAAGTCTAAGGTAAGGGTGCAGTGCTCTATTCCAGCATGCAGAAGTGCATGTTTTTTTTGTTCCAGAGCTTCAGTGCTCCTTTGTGTAAGAGTGTATTGATGATTCTTGGTAAGGGATTATTGTACTGGGTGTAGATTAAGCTGCTGTGCTTCACCTGGGTGACTGTCTCCTAGTGAATTTTGTGCTGCTGCACGCAGACAGCTACTTTTTCCTTAACCTGTGGATTTAAAGCCAAGTAAAATGATAGCTGCAGCCCCTGTGGACCATATGTATAATCTTGGATCAACAACCACAGTCTGTAAAACCAGGTCCTGTGTTGGGTTGTCCCTATCCAGGACTGTAGTAGTCAAGCAGGTCTTACTGGAAACAATTTCTTCTGAGAGCAAGTTTGGCACCAGTGTTCAAAGGTGAAAGAATTCTCCCATGTTCTGAGTAATCTGCTAGCTGTGCCCTTCAGGGGAAGCATTCGTGTCTCCCTCCAGAGGTGACAGACTGGATCAGAAAAGAGCAAATAATTGACAAAGGGGAGTAGATGAGACAATGAACTTGTGAGTAGAGGCTGAGTCCTGATAGCAAGCCTAGATAAGGGAGTTAAACGATTGGGTGGGTGGAGAACAAGCTGCTGTGGGTGGAGCAGGTAAGACCTCTGCCAAATTTAGAAACCTTCCCACTGTGGTCTGTAACAAAACCAAGATAGTTTGGAGATTGGGTATCTTAATGGTTATCTCGGGTTTCAGAGCCAAGTCGGTACCTAATCTCCATCTAGTGGCTGGTGCTCGTGCTGGCAGTAGCTTGTCTATTCATATTAGCTCAGGCTTTCGAGTATTCCGTAGAGTACTTAGTAAGGTTTGTATATAGTTTAAAATAGCTTTTAAAACTTGGTAGTAATGGAAGCTTCTAAAACATGCTATGTGAAAATACATCAATTTAAGTTTCCTTTCACCCTTTGTGCAGGGAAGTGGGGAAGTATGCCAAGATTGCATTCAGCTGGTTACTGATGTTCAGGAAGCTGTGAGGACAAACTCGTCTTTTGTAAAGTCTTTAGTTGCTCATGCCAAGGAGGAGTGTGACCGTTTGGGACCTGAAATGTCTGATATGGTAAGCTATCTTTTTTGTTTAAAAATTTGTTCCTGTATGAGAACATAAAATAGTTTGGTCGGTGCCTTAATCCTCTCAACGTATCTGTATTTAATAAAACAAAGGAGAGTGTAACATGTAGGATGTGTTACACAGTATACCAATAACAACTTGATACTGAAATCATAAGCTTTCTGGTTGAGGGAGTTGGGTGGGGTGGTCTGTATGGGACTGGGGAGGAAGAAAAAGACTCAAGATTGCCGCTAGCCCTTAAAGGCCTTTTTCATAAAAATGATCTGAGAGAGTAATGTGGCCCTAGCAATGACGGGGAGTGCTTTTGCCCTAAGAGAAAGGACTCATCAGATAAGCAGCTGTGTGTGCAATGATTGTGTAACTTGAAATGCCATCTTATATTTGGGACAAGCTCTGAAAGACGACAGAATAGTTATTAAGTAGAGCAGGTAAATTAATACCTTGAGATGTATTAGAAAACTATAGGTTAAATCTACAGCTTAAGTGGTTTGTTACTTACAAGACTTTCTTTTTCTACTTCCTGCAGTGCAAGAACTATATCTCTGAATATTCTGACTTGGCTATCCAAATGATGATGCACATGGTAAGATCAGTAGAATATAATATTTGCTCTCAGCTAATTTTTCTGCTTCGTGTGGCTAGCTTAGTTGGAAACGGGAAACACTTACTGCAGTAAATGTCTGGGGAGAGTCCTTGCTCTGTATGTCTTGGCGTTAAATGCTTTGAACTTGTCATTTAATTGGATAGTAACTTCAGTCTCAGAATGCTTTCTTTAGCACTTTCCTTTTCTTTCACAACCACTTCAGCGGTGCAAAAAGCACTCTAATTCTTTGAAATACAGAAGGTGCATTGCATATGTTCCTTTATACTCATTATATCAGTCCTGTACTTAGACCACTTCCCCCTCCTCCCCACCAAATACTGTGTTAAGCATATTAGAATTGGTCTTTGTCACAGTATTGCAAAATAGGTTCAAGTGTTACGGGGTAATGTGTCTATTTGAAGCAAGACTAAATGTCCTCCTTCTGGAATTGCTATCTCAAGGCTCCTGCTTTCTGGGCTCTTGATAGGAGCCATGGAAAGTGAATTGTACTGCAGCAGCTCTGGTCTTCTGCAGCAACATACAATAGATTTTACCTCTCACCACCTCCATAGCACCTCTTTATCCAGAGATCTCAAAGCCTTTTAAAAAAAAAAAAAGTAAGCCTTTGCCTGGAGAATGCAGTGCCTAGATGTCGCAAGTAACATAACAAATTATAGGTGAATTTATGAATAGTCTGTGGCTGGCTTGAACCTGAATTTGGCCACACAGTGGCCTTTTTTTGTTTCCAGTTGCTAAATGCTATTTAGAAGCTCATATTGATTCTTAAGCATTTGGGGGCGGGGGGGCAGCAAATCTTTGTTCCAACAACAGTTAGTTACTGCATTGCAATGCTTAAAATGAGAATGTTGTTAATACCTGAAGTTGGAATATGACCATACCTTGCATACAGCTGAGTGTTGTTCAAACTCTTTGGAGGTAGTCTTGTCCAGGATGCTTTAATAATTTCAAATGAATAATGCTGGTTAGCACTGTGCAGTTAAATGTGAGTTGCTGTAGCAATGCTAAGGATCTTTGGGGTGGGGACAATGTCGTATTTCATCATCTTCGTGCAGTTCCAAGTGCTTGACATTTTTTTTTTTTCTCTTAACTGTTATCTTTAATTTCTCCTTTCTTCCTCTGTCTCCAATCTCCCCTGTCAACAGAAGGATCAGGTAGGTGAGCAACTTGCCTGTGGTGATAGCCTGCTTGTAGTTCACTTCTTGCTCTTAAAGGGCTTGTAGTTCACTTCTTGCTCTATTAGCTGTGTACCTGGTGTGATTCTACCCAGTGTTGACAGATACAAGGGATATTTATGTGGTTAAAACAGAGAAAGACTATAGACTTCCTCTAGTGGATGAGTCCTACTTCCAGCTCCAGATACCAGTTGTGCTACTAAGATTTCAGCTTGATTATACTTTGGCCAGTGGAGCAGAAAATATGCTCACTTTCATACAAGAAGGATGAGATGTAGAAAAAGCATTCCAATGGCTCCTGCCAGCTGCTGCTTTAAAATCTGGGCTCAAAAGGGCTTGAGTGAAGCTGTCCCCGGGTCTATTCTTGGTTAACTTTTAAATATAGGACAATGATATAGATGCTTGGAGTATATGAATGGAAAAGATGATGCAGGAGGTCTTTTAGGCTCCTGCTTCCTACAGGTATTGGGGCTTTTAATTTAACCGGTCCTGGGAGACCTTGTGTCTGTCATCTCTCTGTGAGAGAACATGTTGCGTGTATGTGGGTTTTGCTGTAACATTTATATCTGGAAATGCTTCTTACAATGCATGAACCAAAGGGCTTGACTTAAAGGTACTGCCTGGAGTAGTCTGAAGCAGCACTGTGTTGTTGAGATACTGCTTTTGCCTGTGCATGAGACTGTGGCATGATGTATTAACTGTTGCATAAGCCTCTGCTGTAAGAAGCTTGATCCCCTGGTGACAGGGTGGGGTATGATCTTCTAATTACCCATAGGACCAAAGGTAACTATTTTTATTAGCTGAAGTAGACTTCAGGTGGGAAAATTCAAGTTTTGTGTATTACTCTGTACAGCCTTTCTCCCTTTGTGTGGGTATAATGTGGCCTCCTTAGAGCAGTTAGCCTCATGTCCGGCATTTCTTTCTGCATATAGTACTGTATGTTTCTGAAACCTTTGAGAAAGACTTAGTCTTTTGAAAGGCTTTGTTTCTGTTTGCTGTTTTCCCCCTCTTACTGTGAAGAGAGCACTTGAAATACAGTTACTGCAGATACTTGTAAAAAGGGTTAGGCTTAGGTTTTAACATGGTTAACTTTTGTTTCTTGTAGGATGTGTTCAGTAATGTGGGAATCTGTTTCTGTTTGCAAAATGTGATGTTACTGGATGCTTTAAAGAAGGTAGTTTGTGGACGAGAAAAGGAGTTCTCTCTTCTAGGTGTTTCTTTCAGCTGTTGGGTGAACTGTGAAGTCAGGACAATTAGCCTCTTCTGTGATTACTTCAAGCTTTCAGGGGAGCAGCTTTGCTGGTGCAGGTCTAATGTGATGCTGGTGGCCTGTTTTGGTGTTGGTAGCTCTTAAGTCAACTCCTTTGAAGGACCTGTATAGTGTATTAGCTCATGGTAAATGGGTTTTTAAATGGATGTGGCCTAACCTCTTCCTCTGGTAAAGGAACTGCTAAATTCCATCTGGTAGTTGTCCTGCCTATAACCATATCAAATGCTTTGGCAATACTTGAAGTAGAAGTAGTTGTGAAACTCCTAATTGTGTTGGAGCCTTTTAAAACTTTGTTCTCTGTGCCTGCTCATAGGCTCCATAGAAAGGGCAGAGTCTTCTAGACTTTTAAGAATTGCTTATACGTCTCTTTCCAGCAACCAAAGGACATTTGTGCCATGGTTGGGTTCTGTCCTTCCGTGAAATCTGTTCCCCTTCAGACTCTGGTGCCAGCTCAGGTGGTTCATGAAGTAAAAATGGAAACTGTGGAGGTAAGAAGGACTTCTTGTACTCAACAGCTTTGCCTTCCTTTTTGCTTTAGGGTAATGAACTAGAAAATGGAATGAAACAGAAAAAATATGAGCTTTTGTGCTTAGAATAATCCAAGTCTACTTGCATATAAATTCCTGGCCTCCTCTTGCTTCTGGTGTTGATCTGTGAAGTAGGAGAGCTGACTGATTTGTTAGAATAGCAGGACCTATGCTAAACCGAAGCTATAAGGTAATACTTCAGGACTGAAACTGGAACTCTTGTTCCAGCAGTAGTGTAGAGCAGTCATTCTAAATGCCACCACAAATGTTAGAGGCCAAATTGCTGAATTTGAGTTTCGCTGTACATTTGGAGTTATGCTTTGATCCCTCTTAAAAATGGGACGGCATTCTGCATGTGTGGGTGAGTGATCAGAGTCAGAATGCTGAAGCTCTGAGTTTGGAGAAGCACCTTAGCTTCCCATGGCCTTTGGGCAAGACATGGGCTGAGGCTTTTTTGAAAACGAAAGTCTTTTGAGGACAGTTAACTTCTGATTAAGAGGCTCCAAACAATTTCCCTCAGATCTCTCAATTTCTAGGTTTCTTTTGTGGACAGGTGGGGGCTCTCAGTTCTAGTAAATTAGTAATTTCATCCTCAATTGGTGCATTGTAAAAAAAACTAATTTTAAAAAACTTAAAAAAAATCAGTTTTGTTTGACTCCAGTCACTGTGGGGCTGCTTATTTCTCTGTGTCTACTAGATTCAACTCCCCTCCCTTTACAACCTGGGTGTAGTAGTCTTTAATTAGTCATACAAAATGACTGTTCACTTGAAAAGGCTTTTTACTGACACGTTTGAGGTTGGGTTTGGGTTCTGTGTGACCTTTTAAATTCAGCTCAAACTAGCCAGCTAGGTAAATGAATTAGTGTGCTGCACCTGAATGTGAACACTGTTAGACCGATCTTTTATGAATTGTCCCTGTCAAATGTGGCCAAGTGCTGATGTGTTGTTTTGTGTGTTCCTTCTGTGTATTCAGAAAGCCTCAGGTCAAGAGAAGACCTTTTCTTTGTGTGAAATATGTGAGACCATGGTGAAAGAAGTGACTGGCCTCTTGGAGAGCAACAAGACAGAGGTGTGTAAGTGTTGGAAATGGTACCTCTTCTTAGCCTTTGGCTAAAATGGGGCTATATCGGAGGGGGAAGGAAAGTTAATTTTATTGTCTGTTTCCATGAGAGCAAGATTTCCATCCTGGGTGGGACGGAGTAAGAAAACATGTACTTATGAACTGAGTCAGATTTCTGTTCCTCATTTGCCACTTATCCTTCGTTGTGCACCAGGAGGAGATTGTGCATGAAATGGAGGTGATCTGCTACCTGTTCCCAGCAAGTGTCAAAGATCAGTGTAAGGACTTCATAGACGTCTATGGCCAGGCTTTGATCGACATGCTCTTGGAGGCAACGAATCCTGAAGCTGTGTGTGTTATGCTGAAATGTTGTGCAGCCAACAAGCCTCCACAGCAGCCAGGTTGGTAACGAGGAGTGGGTGGTATTGCAAAATGAGCTAGTTCACCTATGATTATATCTCTTTTGAGGACACGTGCTTTAGTACTTTGCTGATGCTGCCTCCTTTCTTCAATTTGGGGGAAGTACCTAAGCACTGATGTTTGTGTTCGGTTTTGTTTTTTGCCTTCTCAGTTTTAGTGAAACCTGCAGGCGGCTTCTGTGATATCTGCAAAATGGTGGTAGCTTATGCAGACAAAGAACTAGAGAAGAATGCCACGACAGCTGAAATTGAGGCTTTACTGGAGAAAGTCTGTCACTTCCTGCCAGAGTCTGTCAGTGATCAGGTAGAGCACTTTTGCGGGAGGCAGGCTAAAAAGCAATGGTCTCGTTGGTGGTTGGGAACTGTCCTCCTTGAGTTGTTGGGTTTACATAGGTCCTACAGTGACAGTTAGGCTTATCTCCTTTTCTGAGTCTTTCACCTGATACTCTGTCTACATGCTAATTTTAGGTCCGTCTCTCAAGTGTCTCTACTGCTATAAATGTCCAGGTACTTGTAAGAGGTCTCTGTGTTTGGCCAACTGCCTTGGTCTCTGGCTGGAGACAAACTGTCCACAGGTGCGGCTGGGATGGGCTTGTGTTCAGCAACCTGATCCTTCCTAGGTTTTTCCCTTTTACTAGTTAGCACCAAAGCGTAGCAGCTTCTCATGTGCAGTAGAGCAAAAAAAGGGAGAAAGCTCGATCTGAGGCAAATGACCACGCAGGCCTTGCTGTGTGGCAGCCTGCCCTCCAGTCAGAGCAAGGCAGATAGAGATGAACAGGAGGACGAAACATTTTGCAGAGTATGTGGAAAAACTAGAGAGCAGCATCTCTTGGTGGTTTTTGTAATAGTAGTCAGTATAATGAAGGTCAGAGTGGAAGGAATCTCTTCCTCTGCTAGAGGCTGGAAGGAGTTTGGAGTGCAGGGGGATTAGGTTTTCACACTCCCCATGCTTTGAGGGGTTGGCAGTCCTTTGAGTAGATGGAGACTTTTTAAGGGCCTGAAGTGACTGCCTGGATTGTTGTACTAATTTGCAGTCAGTAAAGGTTTGCCTAGAAATCCTCTGAGAACAGCGGGTGGGAACAGCTGAAGGTTTTTTTCTTTTCCTCAACACTGATCCTGTTCAGGGGATTAATGAAGTAATTGGAAGTAGGCTGGCGTAATTCCAGTGAGACAGCAAAAAGCAACACTTTTAGGCTACTGCTATCAAGATTTACCTGGTAGTCTTATTAGGTGGCTGCTGAGTGTCAGCAAGTGGCAACTGCTTCTGAGTTTACTAAGTGTACAATATACAGGCTTAAAGCGGCTATGAAACAGCTATTCCTGTAACTGCTGTGAGGCTGTTTAATAGCTGTGGTTTGCTTATTAATCGGTGCCATTAGTCTCTGTGTTTCAGAGGTGGCCTCCCCACTAGAGGGCTGACTGTTGTCGATGGGAGGCGTTCATGCTGCTGCCCGGTCTGAAGTGAATAGAAACTACTTGGGCTAAAAGTGCTTCAGAGTCATTACTGCATTGCTGCTGTCCTGTTCGGGATGTTTGTCTCCAGCTTGTTCAGTGTGCTTTCCTCTTGAGACAGCAGTGATCTCCACCGTTAGAGACTAAGCTTTGCAAATCAAAGCTTGTCCTGCTCGGTGCTTTTCCCAAAGCCTGCCCTGCTCGGTGCTTTTTCCTTTTGACCCCTTTCTCTTCATAACCTGTCTGCAGACAGTTGCAGGCAGGTATGAGCTAAAAAAAAATGATCTAGTTGTGTGATTAGTGTGATGCTGAGTCCTTTTTCATCTGCAGAGCTTGAGCCTCTGGTTTGAGTGTGTTACACTCCAAGTGTAAGCTTGGAGTGTATTATTGGGGTATTTGGAATAGTGTACAGGCCTGCCTGCTGAAGACTTTATCTTCCACTTCTTTCTGAGGCTTTTAACAGGAGAATCTCTCAACCTGTGTGTTGTTACAGTGTGTTCAGTTTGTGGAACAGTATGAACCGGTGGTTGTGCAACTCTTGGCAGAGATGATGGATCCCACTTTTGTTTGCACGGTGAGTATTGCGTTTAGCCCTATTGAGTATGGGTGCCGATACGGTCCTGCCTACTCTTCTCTACGCCTTTCAGTGCCTAGCATGCAGAAACTCTGCCGGAATGAAAATCAGCACGCTGAATGCTTGGAGCAAATGTGGTTGTGCAAGGCCTCGGGCTTACTGAAAGGACAGCTGTCTGTCTGCCAGCCTTGTGCAAGAAAGGACAGAAGAGCTGCCAGTGGTTACCCACTGTTGAGGTTCAGTAGCAAGGTGTTAGTGTGCCCTGAATGTGATGCGGTTGAATGACATTTCTTGAGAAAGGTCCCTTTCTACAAGCTCTGTTTCTCATAGCTTAATATGAAGAAGCAGTTGAGGTAGCTTAATTCTTCCTCGTGTCAGATTCCTGCTTCATGTCTACTCGTTCAGCTGCAATTGTGACTGCAGTCGTCAGTTGAGCATGGTCCTGTGGGAGCTCCTGAAGCTACCTTGGCGTTGCTTCTGCGCTCGGTCAGGTGGAAACTCAGACGTGAGGCTGGAGTTGAGAATCTCATGGTGCAAATACAAAGATACTGACTCTGCTGCTGTTCTTTTCACAGAAACTTGGAGTCTGTGGGTCGGCTAGACAGCCGCTCCTGGGGGATGATGCCTGTGTCTGGGGTCCGGGTTACTGGTGTAAGAACATGGAGACTGCTGCTCAGTGCAACGTACGTAAAGCAGGATTCTGCCTTGACTTTCCTATTGGTCTTTGATCACACCTTATAAACTACTTTTCTGGCTTCTATACCAGACTTTCAAGTGGATGAATTCCAGTTTCAGGAAGCAAGAGGGTACTAGCTAGAGGTGGCTGAGTTTGATTAGAGGGTCTTCCATAGCCCTTAGCTTTCTCAAAGCAGTCCTCTCCCCTTCGTTCCTATCCCCCCATCCCTCTGCTAGCATTTCAGAATCTATGGTAAGATACAGTGTGAGATTTATCTTTAGTCTGTGTTCCTGCAGCCAAGAGACCATGTCACGACCTCTCATCAGGCTCTAAAAGTTGGCTTCCAGTATTGCTGTGGGCTGGTGCTTTCCCTGCCAGGCCTTAATGGCTAAGGGTCATCAGCATTTTTCCTTGAAGCTTTCTGGGTGGGGACAAGGGTAGTATTTGTTCTAGTCCTCTCTGGAATCACTTATTTTAAGAAAAACAGATTTGCTCCCAAGATCTTGGCTCAGAATAAGACGTTAAATTGTGTGTGTAGATGCATGCTTGTTTGCAGAAAGGCTCTTTTCCACTAACATACCCTATTTCTTTCCCTTTAGGCTGTTGATCACTGCAAACGTCATGTGTGGAACTAGAAGAAGAATTTCCAGTTCTGAAAGTTTGATATGGCTTTTAAAAATGTGGGCTGAGGTTGGCGGAGAGCTGTATCTCAAATGTCCTCCTCTCTGCCTCATTAACAATTTGACCTTCAAGTTCCTTTATTGTAACTCTTCTGTAGCAGTGCTGCTGTTGAAGGATCAGATCTTCGTTGTTGACTTAACAAAGATACTTCTGATTGTACAGTTTAACTCATTATGCTCCTACAAATAGTCAGTGTGTTGTAGATTTTTAATTGGTAGGCTGAAGTGTTTTTTAGGTGCTGGGAAGAATGGCAGAGAAGGTGACATGAGACAAGACTTATCTTTTAATTTAAAAAAAGAACAAGATAGCAACTAAACTTTCTGTAGTCAGCATTGGGAAGATTACATGCTTTGCGTTTTTAACACCTGGCTGGAATATTAATTTTCTGTGTAACTGTAGGAGAACTCTAAGGGATAATGCTGAATCCGGGAATCCCTTTGGCTGGAATTTTGAAAGCTCTACAGATGCAGGGGAGGGGACTTTGTGTGCCCAGCTAACTTTGAAAGTAACTGGTACCTAAGAAGATGCCTTTGCATTTGAGTGACCACGCTTTTGCATTTGACTGACTGCACTTATGGCTTGTGGTGTTATCATAGCTCTCAACCTTTGATCATGTCCCTTTTATTGCCTTGGACTACACGATCTAAGCGTGGGTGTTCTGCTGTCAAGACCCATACGGTGGGATTTTAGTCTTTTGAAGCATGCTGACTTAAGGAAAGGCTCCCTTTTTTTTTTCTTATCCCTAGTTGCTCAATTCTGCTTAGTCTTGCAACTTCCTACATGCAGCCAGCCGGGTGCCAAGGAGGTGGAGCAAGCTGGGTCGGTAGAAGATGGAGGCGGGGGGAAAGTCAGCAGGGGGCTGTGCACATGTCAACGTGAGTTCAGTGTAGAGGGCAGAATGCATGGAAAAATGGTTTTTGTTGTAACCTGCTGGTTTGTTCCTTGATTTGCTTTTCTCTCACAACCTATTTCAGTCACTTAAAACTTCAGAGGCAGTTCCCAGTGCTGCCACCCGTTCCCACTGACTCTCACCCTTCTGAGTGGGTTGAAGTAGAAATGTTTTTTTTTTTTTTCCAGAGTTCCCATTTCTGTTGGGAAATGTGTCTGAATAGGAAGCGGAGATGGCAGACGGTAAGAGCGCAGTAGTAGGTACTGGGCAGCTCTGCTGGTATACCTGCCAACCTGCTTTTCACACCTCTGCAGCATCAAAAAACCGAACTTCCCAGCAAAAGCCTTTCAAGGCAGGCTGCTGCTCTGGGAGCAAGTCAAGTCAAGCCCTTGAAGTTTAGGGGCCTTGTGGATGAGAATCACGTTTAAGTTGCTTGAGATGGACCTTGCAGCCCCTCCCGGCGTTAAGTACGTAGTTCTGATCAAGTTAGCCCCCAAATTAGAGGCACCAGAGTAGCTCTGAGGAGACCTTTGGGAAAGGAGGAGCTGGGCAGAGGTGGAGCTTTGAAAATTCCAGTCCTGTTCAGAAAGGTGCCAGCAACTGCTACTGTTCCTGTGGTGTCCTGGGTGAGGTGGGAGCTCCAGTAACAATGCTTTAGCAACAAGCTAACTAACTTTCATGCAGTTTAATGGAAAACCACTTGACTGCAGCTCTTCTTGTTACTACATGTACGTACTAAAAGTGTTGACAGATCACAACTGGTTTGTCTTTCCTCTGCGTTTGTACAGAAAGCTGAAGCTCTTGAGGAAAAAAAAAAAGAGAAAATTTCCCCTAAAGATGTAAACTACCTGCAGGTTTCTGTCTTGGCAGGCTTGCACAGTGGTTCCAGCGGTGTATCCCAGTTGGGGTAGATACGCCAGATAGGAAATGGGCTCTCTTCAGCATCGCTGCCCTGGAGGTACAGGGTTGTGTTACACCACGGCATGTAGTCTCTCGTATGTGATCTTTTCAACTGGATGGCGTTCTCTTAACGTGATTTCGGG